TAAGCATGATGTCCTTCTCCAAGGACTGGTCCCACCTGGCCACATGCACAAAGTATGTGAGATGAAGCCTCAGAATTCTTGCCTCCAGGGAGCAGCCTGGTTTCACCCTCTTCAGGTCAGACCTGTTTGTTCCCCTGGCAGTCCATGTTATTTTCAACACTCTTCTCCACCACCACAATTCAAAGGCATCAAGCCTTCTGTTATCATCCTTAGTTATTGTCCAGCTCTCAGGTGCATAACAAGTAATTATCAAGACTATGGTCTAGATCAAGCACACCTTAGTCTCCAGACTGACACTGTTGCTCTTCAGTATTTTAGAGAAGTCCCTGACAGTAAATCCTATGGGAAGAGATTATTTATCTTTCTCCTGTGGAATAGCTGGTGGATTCAAACCACGCCCCTTTGTGTTGGCCATGCAATTCCTTTACCACTAAGCGAATGCCTACTTTCTTTAATTTATTAAGCCTTCTGACACCATGGTTAAAATGTTCGCTTGTTAGCCAAAATTTTGGCCATTTGAACCGACTATTCTGTGGAATAACTATTCTGTGGAAGAAGGATGAGATGGCCTGCTTCTTCAAATATTTACAGCCTTGGACATGATGCACGACAATGGCAACTCTGCTGTATTTAAATTTTTTTTTCTTTTTTGTATATTTTTAATTGAGTTTTAATCAATGTTTATACAGAACTTGAATTTGCATTCATTCATTGTTGCACATTTTTCACCCTGCCCACCCAACCCCAGTTTGCTTTTCTCTTTAATCTCTCTTCATTGAGAACAATGTTGGCTCTTTGGTTTACATAAATATTTTTTACTGTGTTGAGGAAATTTCCCTCTATTCCTATTTTGTTGAGTGTTTTAATCAGGAAAGGATATTGGATTTTGTCAAAGGTGTTCTCTGCATCAATTGATAGGATCATGTGGTTCTTCTCCTTTGCTTTGTTAATGTGATGGATTACACGGATTGCTTTTCTTATGTTGAACCATCCTTGCATACCTGTTATGAATCTCACTTGGTTACTGTGAATTTTTTTTTAAGTATCATTGTATTGGCCAAGATTTTTACATCTATGTTCATGAGAGATATTGGACTATAGTTTTCTATTTTGGTAGTATCTTTACCTGACTTTGGTATCAAGGATATGTTTGTTTCATAGAATGAGTCTGGGAGAATTCCATCTTTTTCTATTTTCTGAAATACTTTATGTAGAATTGGTAACAGTTCAATTTGATAGAGAGGATTTTTTTTTTTATAAAATTAATTTGAAAAGCCAAGGGTCCAGGGATCCTTTTGGTTGGAAGTTGTTTTATTACCTTTTCTATTTCTTCTTTTGTGATGAGTCTGTTCAGATGTTCAACTTCAGTCTGTATCAGTTTTAGTAGGTTGTGAGTTTCTATGTACTCATCTTTTCCTCTAAGTTTTCATATTTTTTGAGTATGTAGTTTGTTATCATAATCCATTGTTAACCTTTTTATTTTACTTGGTTCTGTTGTGACATTGCCCCTTTCATCTCTTATTCAGATTATTTGTGTCTTTTCTTTCTTTTCCTTTGTTAGTTTTGCAAATAGTGTGTCAATATTAGAGACTTTTTAAGAACTATCTCCTGGTTTTGTTGATGGTTTCAATTGTTTTACTGTTGTTGGTTTTTTTTTTATTTCTGTCTTAATTTTTATAATTTCAGTTTCCTTCTAGGGTGTTAGGTTTTGTTGCTATTCTTTTTGTATTTGTTTGAGATGTTGGGTTAGAGAGTCAATTACCTTGTTTTCCCCCTTTTCATGTGCTTACTTATTACTATACATTGACCTCTGATTACTACTTTGGCCAAAGTACTTTCTTTGTACTTTCTTTTTACTTTTACGTTTTTCTTTGTACTTTCTTTCTGGTAGTTCTATCTTTTCTTGAGATTGGTGTATTGAAGTCTCCAACTACTATAGTGGTGTTGTCTATTTGCTTTTTTAAAAAAAAGTTTAATTCTTTTCTTGAACACTTTATGCAAGAAAACAAACAAAAACAACAGTGCAAACTATAGCTTTGAAAATAAAGCCTACATACCAAGAACAAGATTTATGTAGCCTTAGAGAATGTCAGATTTTAACCTGTAACCAATTCCTTAACTTTACATTTAATTTGAATATCTGTTGGAACAAAATTGTATATACTCTGATTGAACTTTAGTGCTTTTTAGATAAGTTTTCCATTTTACTTTGTGACATTTAAGATGCATGTAATTGGTTAAAGTATATAGAGTTTGATTAAACAGTTGATGCATGCACCTTTTTATTCTCTTAGTATTTTGAATAACATGTGCCCTAAGTGATATGAACTGATAAGCTAACATTAGTTGGTCTTAAAGTAAAGTTTATTTCAGTAGTGGATTTTTAATAAATTGAGATAAAAGTAAAATTAATGTCTTCTATTAACTATAGCCTGGCACAAAGAACATTTATCAAAGTAGAGAATCTTAATGTTTCTTCTGTAGAGAAATGTCCAGGATAGACTTCAATATACACTTGCAGGAATAACATGATTTAATATCAGTAATAAAAGAAAGAAAAAAAAAAGACAGACAGATGATTCAAAACTTCAAGCTGAAACAAAGTTTCATCCAAATCACAACTAAAAGCAAGAAAAATCCATAAACTTTCACAGAAATCATAATAAAAAGTAAAACAGCTCGGTTGTTAGGAGCCATTGAGCTGATTTTAATCTCCTGGAAATCTTGTGTGAGGAATAAAATTGCCTCCAGGGCTTTCTAGGCTTTGATCATTATGGGAACAGATTGCCAGGTCTTTTCTCTCATGGAGTCTCTTCAAGTTAAAATATAAAGTTTCATTTAAATAATAATAAAAATCAGAAAGTAAAACGATTCTGCTGTTAGGAACCATTGGGCTGATTTTAATCCCCTGGCAACCCTGTGTGAGGAGTAGAATTTCCTCCAGCATTTTCTAGGCTGTAATCATTAAGGGAGCCGATTGCCAGGTCTTTTCTCCCATGGAGCTTCAGGTTAGCAGTGAAGTTCTTAAGTGTTGTACCACCAAGGTTCCTTGCATAAAATATTGATGATAGTATATTTTGAAAATATGCACATATTATGTACTTAACAAATTATATCATGCTTATTAATAATGCAGCTAAGAAATTATATTAACAAGACTGTGAACATACATTTTTCTAATATTAATAAAGCAATAGAAACAATTTCCCATGAGTAGATTCTGTAACGTGGTGATCTATGTCCATCAGATTATAATTGTCCTCCCCAGAGTTCTCAATTATTGATGTTCTGCAAATAGATCTTCAGGTCTCCTTTCCAATGCACTTCTTAGTGACCTTGAAACCACCAACATTGCAGGTAGTAGTGAGTGCTCTGTTTTGTATATTTTGCAGCTCTATCATTTGATGCATAGATATTTATTATTGTTATGTCTTCTTCTTTTAGTGACTCTTTAAGCATTATGTAGTGACCTTCCTTGTCCTTTGTAAGAATTTTTGCCTTAAAATCTATTTTATCAGAGATTAATATCACTACTCATACTTTTTTTTTCTGGTTGCCATTTGCTTGGTATATATTTTTTCCACCGTTTTCTTTTTTTTTTAATAACTTTAAATAATAGTACCTTATTGAATAAGTTTTATTCAGAGAAAAATAAGCTTTAATCTACAGTGGCTGCCAGATAATAGAGTGGAAAGCAATTTTCTTAGTTTTCTACACTGATGTAAAGGTTCATATTAAGTGGGAAAAAAGCCATAAAATTATATTCACAATTATAGTATTCTACCTCTATACATTGCACGTGAAAATTCACGACACTAACACAACTTAAGAATCAACCATTCTTCCAGGTTAGGTACAGCGAATCAATGATGAGGGGGGAAAAATAAGCAAAATCTAACAAACTACATGAAAGCCTTTGTTACATCAAATAAAAATGCAACTTTGTTACAAAGTAGCAAGAAAATATACTAATGTAGTAATTTTAAACTTTTATTAATGATACATACAAATGTAGTAAATACCAAAAAAATATAAATGCATATCTGAAAACTTAAGACTTGAAAATACTTTTACCACTCAAAAATTAATATGGTATTGTACAATAAAAAGATAGGTGTATTTAAGATTGTCCTATTTATTATTTATAGTGTCGTTTAATATGTAGTGACAACTGTAATACAGTAGAAAAGGACAGTTGAAATAAGAAACATTTGAGACTTCCCAGGAGAGGAAGTTTGTGAACTTTCACCTTTGTAACTGTGTCCCAATCCTAAATTCTGCTACCAACTGGCTGCACAGCATTTAGCCTTAGTTGCTACCATTTTCTTTTAGTCTTTCTTTATCTTCACTTTTCAGGTGTGTCTCTTGTAGACAGTGTATTGATGGGTTTTTCTTTTTATCCAATCTGCTGCTACTCTTTTTCTAGTCAGCGGTGCATTCAAACCATTCACATTCAGTGTGATTATTGAGAGACAAGATTTTATTGCTGTCATTTTGTTGAGTTCTTTCTGGTGGTGTTGCTAATTACTTTGGTCAATTCTGCTTTCTGTGGCAACTCTGTAAGGAGGACGTCACTAACTGTTTTCTGCAGTGCTGGTCTTATTGTTACAAACTCCCTTAGGTTCTGCTTTTCTGAGAATATCTTTATCTCTCACTCATAATTGATGGACAGTTTTGCTGGGTATAGTATCTTGATTGACAGTTGTGTTCTTTGAGAGTTCAGTGTATGTCATTCCACTGTCTTCTTGCTCGCATGGTTTCTGCTGAGAAATTGGCAATTAATCTTATTTGCTGTCCCTTATAGGTTACTCTTTGTTTCTCCCTAGCTACTTTCAGAGTTGTCTCCTTATCTTTGGTTCTGGCAAATTTGACTATGATATGCTGTGGTGTATTTCTTTTGGGGTCTATTCTACATGGTGTATGCTTAGCTTCTTGAATATATATTCTCTCATTCTTCATTATGCCTGGAAAGTTTTCTGTAGCAATTCGTCCACAACTTTCTTGGTGCCTTTGCTTCTTCTTCCTGTTCTAGGATTCTGATTAAGTGCATGTTATTTCTCTTGATGGTGTTCCACATTATCCTTAAGCTTTCTTCTTTTTCCTTCTTTTTTGATTCTACTTTTTGTTCTAGCAAATCAGTAGTAACAATTCTATCTTCTACTTCTCTGGTTCTGTGTTCCATTTCTTCAAACTCTGTTCATATGTCCCTCCAAAATGTTGACAGTATCTGAAACGTTGGTCATATTTTGGATTGTGTTTCTTGTTTTACCAATGCCTCTTGTGCCTCGTTTGCTTTATCTGCATTGTTTTGGATTGTTTTTATGAGTTTCTCTTGGTGTTTGCTTGCCGTGTCCTATAATTATTCAAGTTTGTCTTTCACGCATTGAAAATAGTCAGTTGTTGTTCTTTTAAATTCTGTGTCAGAAAGTCCAATCAGACTTTCTGGCTTCAGGAAATTCCATTGATACTGTGTCAGTTCTTTTGGGTGACATCTTGTTTTGGGTTTGTGTAAGATGTGAGGTAGCCTGCTTTCTATGTGACATTGCTATGGTGGAGTTTTTCAAGCCTAGGTGATAACAGGCTCTTATTCTGACGTCACAGCTCCAGAGGATTGTGGGGCAGCTACCCTGCCTGAGTTTCCCTCTGAACTTTTGACTGAAGGGAAAACTTGCTTCTGTTCAGGCGAGATAAGGCCTGTGAATTAGCAACCTACTCTGTAAGACAACTGCTGCAGCGAGGCCAGTCCAAGGTACTCTGGGCTAAAGGCAGCTTATGCCTTGGGAGAGGAGAGGAAATGAAATGGATTCACCTCTAATACTCATCTCTGGCACAGTTCAGAGGGGCAGCAGAGGGTTGTCCTCCAGACATTGGGGCTGAGGCATGAAGGCTGTGGGTCCAAGTGATGAGTTCAGGTCCTTCAAGTGGCAGAAATTAGCTTTCCAGGTGGTGAGGCAGGTCCTCCAGACAGCTGGGGAAGGACTTAAAGGTATCGGGGAGTAACTTCCAGGCAGGTGGGCTGGGACTTCCAAGCAACAGGTGGAGCATTCAGGAAGCAGGACTGGGACTTACAGGCAAAGGGTTCTTGTCTGGCTTCCAAACAGTGAATGTGAGCATCTGGGCAGCTGGGTAAGGTCCTTTACACAGCAGATTCAGAGGTCCAGGCACCAGAGGAGGGGTAACCTCTAGTCAGAGGGTGCTGGTCCCACCAGACAGTGGTGTAATGGTCTAGTGCTCTAGGCAAGAGATCAGTCCAGGACACAAAAGAAATTTTTGAGACAGGTACCTAGCTAATTGGCTGGATAAGCAGCATAGAAGTAACATATTCCAGAAGCAACCTAAAGCCCTTTTGCCACCTTTCTTAATTTGTACTGTAGTTTCCTTATCTATAAAATTAGCATATTATTGACATCTACTCCAAAGTTTTGCTGTGAAGGCTACATAATTATAGATTTAATGTACTTGGGAAAATGTTTGCATGTCATAAGCACTGGACGAATGTTAATTGTCTTAAGCCCTGTCATTTTCTTTTTTTTTTTAAATTGTGATATATATACTTTGGACATGTTGCAAGGAGAGACAGGTCTTTGGAGAGGGACATCATGCTGGGTAGAGTGGAGGGACAGTGCAGGAGGGGAAGACCCTCTATGAGGTGGATTGATTCAGTGACTGGGGTAATCTGGATGGGTGTGTCAGAGGCCATGCGATTGTCACAGGATAGAGCAGGGTTTAGGGCTGTTGTACATAGGGTCGCTATGAGTCGCAAACGACTCGATGGCACATAACAACAACAACAACAACAACAACAATATTTCTTTTAGTGAAGGCTCTCAAAGAGATTGGTTTTCACTTATTCATGTACATTTCTCCCTCTTACTCCCCCATTCCCTTTGTAGTGCATGTACTGTTCCACACTATTGTCATAAACAAAATTTCTAGTCATCCATTTCTTTCATATTGTTCTTCCTTTCATTCCAGTTCAGTAATTATTATCTATTCATTCTTTTTCCACTTATACAGCCACCATCACCACACCCTTACATATCCAGTGATCCAGATGATTACACATCAGTGGGTTTATGATTTTTTCCTTTTATAACTGAAATTCACTCAGCATAATGTCTCCCAGATTCATCCATGCTTGATGATAATTTATGAGTTCATTGTTTTTCAATGATGTGTAATATACTGTTGTGTGAATGTACCACAGTTTCTCTATATATTTGCTTGTTAATGTGCCTTAAGCTGCTTCCTTCTCTTTGCTATTAGGAATAAAGTAGCAAAAAAAAATCCAGGTATACATGCGCATGTTTGTAGCAGAGCTCTGGTTTCCTTGGAGTATATTCCCAGTAGTGAGATAGCTGGTTCCAATGGCATGTCTATTTCAAACTTTTTGAGGAAGCACCAGACTGCCCTCCATGATGACTTTATAATTAAAATGTATCAGCACAGGAGGGGAAGGCCCTCTATGAAGTGGATTGATTCAGTGACTGGGGTAGTTGGGATGGGAGTGTCAGAGACAGTGCCATTGGCACAGGACAGAGCAGAGTTTAGGGCTGTTGTACATAGGGTTGAGAGTCAGTGGCACATAACAACAACAACAACAACCAGCAGTATATGAGAGTTCATGTCTCTGCATATTTGATAGCATTTGTTGCTTTCCAGCATTTGCCCTGTGTTTATTTTTTTACCTTGCCAAATTCTTTGTATATGTAATTTCAGAATTGTTATGATATTAAACACACTCTTCTGGCACTTTCTTCAGCATTATAAGTATCTGTTCCTGACACTATCACTATAATATGCATGGGAACTAAAAGCTAAAATAAATATAGTTAGTTAAGAGTAATACTCCATTCTAGGCTTTGTGCTAAATTAAATATTTAAGTGAGCTCCTGTAACTTTATGAAGTATTTTTACCTCGACTTCTATTTTGCATTTTGGTTATGAGGAAACAGAAGTACAGATTTAAAAATTGTCCAAAGTCACAAAGCTAATGTTTGGTATTATTCTTTAGGTGATATGATAGCTTCATAGAAACATACAATTCTCAGTCCTAAATATTTAAAGTATTAAGGAGTTTCCGATATAATCACAAATATATGTGATGGATATAAAGAAATATGTACGTGTGTGTATGTGTGTATCTCCTCTTACATGCATTATTATATGCATGTTTTATATGCATCATTATGTATATCCTCTTTTAAATACAGAGTAATTTATTAATGGATCCAGAACAGAAGATTAATGAAGTTTAAATTGAAGTTTGTACATAACCAAACAGGAAGTAATGATACTGTGAACTCTTTGGCTGCAGCTAGTAATTAGATACAAGCACTAAGCAAAAGGCTGAGATATTTTAATAACTGCCCCAGTAACATAGAAAATTAAGTCACTTTTATATTCATTATAAATGAATATGTGGTACATAAGACATGAAGTAAAGTGTACAGAATGTTTATTTAGGATGTCCTATGGAAAAGAGAAGAAGAAATTGGGAGTGCGGGAGAAATCAATATGCAGTGTGTCTTAATGTCAGCCTTTCAACCAGAGTGAAATAGGCCACTTAGAATTGTTCTGTAAGATCAATCTTTGGAGTTGTGTCAAATGGAGATGAGAGTGACCTTGAATATAGTGACTCTCTGCAGGAGACATTACCCTGGGAGGTGGGGGATGGGATCATGTATGGAGACTAACGGGTCAAGAGAGACCTTAGAGGTGAATCACAATGAATTGTGGATCACAGTCAATCCTTTCAATTATGGAGATCTGAGTGGTAGATCATAATGTGTAACCCCCATCTCTGTTACTGCATTCTACTCAATGTAGCAAATATAATAAATGTTAAATATTTGACAGAATTTCCTCTAGAACTAAACTATAACATTCTTCTAGAACAAAAATGTCTTAGAAGAGGGAATACTGAGGGGTTGAAGATAAGCAGAAAGTTTTACATATAGGAGAATGGATAAGGAGGAAAACTTTGGGCAAAGCTAAGATAATGCTATTAATCACATATGAATAGTGTCTGCAGTTGTAAATAGCCAAAGTTTTTTGAAAGCATCTTTTCTTGCAGAGGCCCGAGTGTGATCATGGTCTTGACCAGGTGGAATGCCATTGCTGAATGGAGAAGATTAATGGGCCCAACAGACCCAGAAGAAGCAAGGCTCTTGGCCCCAGAATCCATTCGAGCCCATTTTGGAATCAGTATCTTGCACAATGCTGTCCATGGAGCATCAAATTCCTATTCAGCAGGAGAGACCATTAGAGAAATATGTGGAGAACTTGATCATGAAAATCTTGAGGAAAATTAAAGTGTATTTCTTCTTTAATTACTACTTTCTTCTCTTTACCTATTCCAAGAGTTGTGTCTATGGCAAAACTGAGACAACATTTCTCTCCTTCAGATCATGCTGCTCCATCTAACCTTACAGGCAAAAAGGTGAACCATGGACCTGGAGAATTCAGCTGCATGAAGTCAGATCTTGGTAGATGCATTCATGCCCATTTATGAAGACAATGGTCCTAGTGAGACAGACACTCCTGGCTGTACTGATCTTGTTCTCAACCCCTTTGTGTCATTTTCCATGCCAATGTCTCATTTAATATTGTCCCTTTATGCCCCCCACTTCTCCTTTCTGTACTTTGAATTCCAAAGTCCAATTCATTAGCCTGAACTTGGTTCTTTACCAACAACCAGTGAGGAATATATGTTAATGCAATGTAATAAAAAAAGTCTTCAAATGGTATTAATGGTTTATTAATAATTGTTAGTAGCTCAACTAACCTCAAGTTTGGTTGTTCAAACCCACTCAGTGATGCTGTGGAGAAAAAGTTTGGTGGTCTGTTTCTGTGGGTGTCATTGCCAAGAAAAAAAAATTAGGTCAGTTTTACTCTGCAGTGCAAAAATATTTTCCATAAATTAGAATCACTCAACATGAACTTTTGTGTTTTTTTTCTTCCCAATATATTAGAATATCAGAAACTGTAGGCAAAAGGACAAGTAATTTCTAATCTTTGACAAAGAAATACTGAGAAATTGAGTTAGCTGTCTATCATATTGAAGAGAACTGGGTCTATTCAGTTAGTCCACATTTTCTCTCCTTAACAATGTAAGAAGTGATATGATAATGGATGACTTTTCTCATTTTCTTGCAGTCTTTAGTTACATAGCCAAGAACATGGAAAGAGCATGCTCAAAATTGAGTATCTATATACCTATCGACTTGAATATGACTGTGTAAGCTCTTCAGATGTGAAATGCTGTCCTCCTTGAGGAGCAAGCACTGAGATTCACCCTCCAGGGTATAATGATTAAGCAATGTGTAACATTATTAAATTATCCAGTGTTTCTCAATGTTGGTTTGTTGATCAGGTGCAATCTAGCAAAGTTGCTTCTCCTAATGAAGGTTACTAGAACAAAAAAAGAAAGTACAAATCAGGTAGAAAGTTAGTTAATGACAGGTCAAAGTTTATTAAGTAAGAAAGAGAAACTATGAAAGGACAAGAATGGGTCTATTTTGAGAGATGAGAATAAACACCTTATTCTTGGATCTCTGGCTGCTTAGTCTCACACTGCTTGCTTTCATCTGAATCATGCTTGCTAGTACAACTTTATTGATTTTTACTGGTTATACTGATGATTGGCTTAAACAAGGTGGCTCTATAAGCTACTGCTTTGTTTCATCTCATAATTCTTCCCCAGAGCCCTCATCTCTCTTTGACAATTCTCTTTGGTTTCTCTGACCTAACAGTTAAGTAACAGTTAAGTCACTTGTGAAGAGCTAATTATATGATTCTGCTTTAGATAGTCAAGAATAATTTATTCAGTTTTTCTGTATGCTGCATCTTATTTATTTACTATATTCTATAATAAATATATGTAATTTTTATATTTATTCCTGTCCTACATGAGTTATGTAAATGTAGGATATTAAAAAGATACATGAACAACTTTCTAAGAGAGTTCCCTCTAAGAGAAAGAGACAGAATATTGACATGCGCCATAGTGGTAAGAAAATGTATGTAGGATATGGAGAGAGAGAAACTGAGGTACTAACAATCCAGTTTGGGGATGTTGCAGTTTTCAAAGTTAAACAAGGAAGCTCTAAATGATTGTAAAAGCAGTGAACTTAATGATAAACAGAATTACCAGAAAATCCTTTAAAGATTATATCTATAAAATGAGTTTCTGGATTGGCTCCCACACAACCAATAGAGTGGAAGGGATCAGAATGATTACCAGAACATATTTCAAACAGCAAACTCAGAGAAACAAGCATGATAGAGGAGATCTTAAAAGTTATTTTCACTCTTGTTGGGTTGTTAGTGAGTCAGGGTCTCAGAGCAGGAGAGTCAAGAAAGCTCAATCAGGGAGACACCACGATCTCTTGCAAAAGGAATCTCGAATGGACTTGGAGGGAGGGATTGTATAAGAATGAAATAATTTTTCTTTTACATTTCAAAGAGAAGAGTGAACTGCAGGGGAGGGGTGGGCAGAGAAAAAAAATGCACCAATGAATGAATGGAAATCTAAAGTCTCTGTAAACTTTCATTAGAATGAAAAAAAGGGGGGGAATCCCTTCCAAAACAACACAAAATTAGCCCTGTCTTGTAATACATATAGAAGAAATTACATGTAATAATTTATAAATTCTAAACCCTCCTGCAATGATTATATTAATAAAACTAGTCATTTACGCTAATAAAGCTAATTTAACTAATTCCAACTCATGGTGACATCATATGTGTCAGAGAACTGTGGTCTGTAGAGTTTTCAAAGGCTGCTTTTTGGAAGCAATAATCGGGGACTTTTTAATGAGGTGCTTCTGAATGGACTTTCACTTCCAACCTAGTAGTTAACAATCTAGTTAAAACATGTTATCCCTTTCTATCACCCAAGGTTAATAATATTCAGAGCTTTATGTGATTTTTTTTTCTCAATTATGGTGTTTAAATTAAAGGAAGTCATTCAACTTGGCAGCAGGATTCAATTGCTCAGTTAGGACAGTATTAAAAATGTTGACCTCAGCCTTTAGTTCACTGCTTTATGCTAGTGTCACAAAAGCCTTAGTCCTGTTGATTATGGCATCTCCATAACTTGTCCTCCAGTAAGCTTTGGTAAAGGCTTCTAGCTCTAGTACTGGATACTGTAGATATAGAAAAACTATAATTCCACTTTGGCTAGTACTTGATTGGAAGTACTAAAAAGGAAGACTTGTGCTGGAAATAAGCTTGTTAAAAGTGGAATTTGATAGTGGGTGCTATAGGGGAAGATTAAGTCTCACTAGGAAGTTTCTGGGGTCCATATGTTGTGTTTTACTGTTCTGACTAGGGGCAGAGACTGAGGCCTGCTCGAGAATGTGACTTTAAAATCCTTGATGAGGTGGTGGGCTTGTGGGCTGAGCTGGCCTGAGGTCTGGAGTCTTTGGAGTCTCCCTCCACTCTAGAAGTTGGCTAGATGGCCGACATCACAATGGCAGTCTCACCTTGGTGTCAGTCAGACAAGGGACGTTTCTGGGATCCATTTGTTGTGTGTTACTGTTCTGAATCGAGGCAGAGGCCAAGGGCTGCTCAAGAGTGTGACTTTAATATCTTCTTGATGAGGCAGTGGGCTTGTGGACTGGGGTGGCCTGGCCTGACAACTGGAGCCTTTGGAGTGTTCCTCCACTCTGGAAGTTGGCTGGCTGACTGATGCTTGGTGGTGGTCTCATTTTGGTGGCAGTCAGCAAAGGAAAGTCTTGGGAGTCCATTTGTTCTGTGTTACTATCCTGTAGGTCACTCAGCCCTCAGGTCTGTTTTTAAATGTTTTTAAATGGTTGTATAACCCTGATCTGTCCACTTGCTGTACTGAGGTAACTCGTGTAGCTGTGAAGCTGAACACTGTGACACTGATGTTTCAAATGTGAGAATGGTTACCCTTGGTGGACAGTGTTTGGTGGAGCTCCCCGTTTAAAACAAGCTTGGAAGCAGAAGTCCACTTCTGAAATAGTGTGCCTCTGGAAACCCTATGAACCTGGAGAGAGGATGAAAGTTATACAAGCGTCCAGGTCTTTTGGTCATAGGCTCGCTTAAGAGCCTTAACAACAACAAGTACTTTGAGGAGATTTGCATTTGTATGGATTTATAGACCCACCTTTGACTTTTGATTCAAAATATGTATAATTGAAAGAAATGCAAGCAGGAAGAGAATGGAAATGAGAAATAGTTTGTTTTTTTTTTAAATTGGAACAAGTTTGATTTCTGAGGCAGGGTAAAGTTGTTGCCCATCAGAGCCCCATTCCAGGACTTCAAGTTAAAGGGAACTGGCAAGTATGCTCATTCATGGTGGATCCACTGGAGTGGAATTAGGAGGTATGGAGCAATAAAGAGGCTTGGACATGTTTCTTGAGTCCTTTCCACCCATCATACACAGATGTATGGATAAAAAAATAGGGTTGCTGGCTTGAGGAGCAGGGAGTCATGAGAACGCTGTAGGCGATAAACCTGAGTGAAGGGACCTAGTAGTCTAGAACACAGGGAAAAGTGTGGTCTCTTGAGTTTTTAGCTGATATGCTTTGGGAGCTTGTCCAACACATTGATCAGAACCCAACCAAATGGAGAGTAGATGTTCCATGCTGTGAACTGCTGTTGATTGATTGTTACTGCAGTAGCAGCTTATATGTTAAGCACTGGAGAAACCATTTTATAATTTAGCACTAGAGAAGTCATTTTGTTCTTCCATAAACTTATCAATAATATATTTTTCTGAGTCTTTGTGTTTTAGTACAAGCTGACACAGCTTGGTTACCAGTCCCTGACTACATTCTATTCCTGGCCCAGGTCCTGGACACCCGTAATAAGTCAGAAACAATAACAGTTCCCCTAATGTGAAGAAATCTCAACTGCCAACAACAATGACCTTTGTGTAACACCCCCTCCCCCATGCCACATCTCTGTATAAACACCTGATCATTGTTTCCCCTCAGGGTCAGAATGGTTTGAGCATTATCTGACATTCTCAGCCTGTATACTTCAATAAAAAACCTTTATTGACCCCAAGAATCTGACTGTTTAGAATCTCTTCTGTCATAACACTATGACCTGTTGGCTTGCTCTGGATTGGACTTTGTGGATGCAGATGCTCACAGTTCCCAAACGGAACAGAAAATTCTTTAGCAAAAGGGACGTGTTTATTCCCTCAGAGTACTGGTTTGATATAGGCAAATCAGAAATTATCTAAAATGGGGATATTTAGGCATTAAGAATGATGTAGCTGGTTTATGTGCTTTCACAAATGTAGATATTATTAAGATGATTGTAAGGGGAAAGTATT